ATACCATATAATTTCAACTACAACGAAGCGAATCAAATGTAACGATACCGGACGGATTGCTTCGGGGCCGTTAACCAGAATATGGTGAATGATCGGCAATAGAAATGCAGCCGTCTTTCCTGATCCAGTCTGAGCACAAGACATGAGGTCACGATTGCCCAATAGTGTGGGAAGTGAATATTTCTGTAATCAAGGGATATAACAACTATCGTTTGCTCGACGCATTTTCCTTTCCATTGCTCTGTGACACACCAATAAATCTAACGACCTAACGAACGAGAGATGCAGATGGCAGGCTCTAGCATCATTCGGGTCTTTTTTAGAACTTTTTGAAATGCGGTATGGTTAAAAGCACCAATGACATGTTGAGCACATGTGAGGATATAAAAAGAAGCACAAGCACAATCTTGCCATGACGATTTTGTATTGTATCTAATAATCATTAAAAAATTACCTGAACTGGTGTAGGCTTCCTGTAGCCACTTTTGTCGACATTTTGTTGAATCCACTCATGCATGTTAGCGTCGGTGAACTGAAGGGATAAAAGATAGATGAAGTCAATTTTGTAAGAAGTCAACCTCATCAATCTTGCACAGAAACGATACTCCCTCCAAAGCTAGCATTCACGAGTCGTCGAAGTGGAAGGAGGCAGTGGGGTCATTTAGCAGAAAATCTGCTCGCTATACTACACTTACTATTATGTGCAATCCATTCATGGATCTCCCTATAGACGTTGATGCGGCTACCGTGTGATGAAGATTTCGTCTATGTATAGACTTGTGGGGATGGGAAGAAAGCAGGTGTTTCTTAGGTATTACCCCATCTGAGGAAATAAAGAGTAATCCAGTATTAAACGCTTGTTAAACCAATTGGTTAAGTCACCGCAAAACAAATGCTTAGAAATGATGGTACCACTAAAATGTTCTGGGATGAGTACAGAATAGTGATGTTGTTTTTTGCTTATGTTTTTTCTTGGATACTACATATTCTGAGAAACACGACCGACCGGAAAAAGTATTTTACACACCACCCTATTCACGTGTTATGTTTCTCACTTGTAAAATCACAAATATGACAGAAGCAATGAACTTAGGAGGACAATGATGTGTCGGCAAATCACAAGGTAGAGTTGACCGATGCGCTATCAAGGAAGCTATGTTGACTCTTCAGAATGATCTTCAACAAAACGAACCATGTCTTGTATTGACACCATCTTTCTACACCCGTGGAAATATACTGTTGCAAAAAGATAAGCTCATCAGATCGAAGAAAATCACTGACATCATAAAGGAGGCGGCGCGCAACATGAACGAAAGATGAGACCCTTTCTTTGTCCGCCAACCTAACTCCATGACACTGCACACAACCTATGTCCCATAAGCGAATGTGTAAAAACTGAGAGAGAAATGCTGCAACACCGCCTCAGGAAACGACTGTCGGTGACCTCGTGCGTCAAAAGTAAAATTATGTAACAAGAGCGACTTGTATCTAGCTGGGAAAAACGATGAGGTTATTTCTGAGCTATGCAATTTTAAAAATACAGACCAGAAAAGCATGACATTTCTCAAGAAAAGCCTAACATCTTCTTTGAACAATGCACTCCATACCAAAATACTCTGCGATTATAAGAAGAAACATTACTCACAGCAGTAATCGCCTCCGGAGGGTTTTCGCCGCTCACTTCAACAGGAATGCTTTCGTAATTGTCAAAATTGATGCCACTATTCATATTATTGAAAAGTTGCCTAAAATCCATTACGATAATAATGCTTACCAATGAAAATGAAAAACTTGAGATTCCCAGAATTCATCCTCCCAGCACAAATGAACTCACTTTTCAACAGAATCAGTGCCGGCCGTCTGACCTATTCCAGTTTTTGCCCACCGAAAATCACGCTAAACGGCACATATATTGATATTGCCACAGACACTATATCATCAAAAACAATCAGAAACGGACCAGTTCTTGTCCTTTGGATCGAACGTGCCACCGAAACCCTTCGTCACATAGCCTGCCGTGACACCGTTGCTATAATCCGAAGTCATGCCATTCAATCCACATGGTGGATGCGTGTAGCCATTTTGAGAATACATATTCTGTTGTTGCGGCTGATAGCCATTCTGGTAGCTGAAAATGGTGTCACTATAAAAACTAGCTCCCATAACCCTAGTATTGAATAATAATCGGGAAAACACCTTCTGAACATATGCAGAGTACGGGTTTAATTTTTCAAAGCGCAAAAGCGAAAACTAAACAGCAAGACAGCTTCGTGTCCTGCGTTCGTGAATCTTTCTTTTGGAAAGTGCTAGTCAGTAGGATGATAACTAAGGTGGTAGTGTAATGGGATCATAATGATAGCGGTCATCCGTAAAGACGGTGCCAGCGAAAATATCGAAATGCGCTGCTACAGCCACGAGATTTAGCAACGCAGCAAAAGAGAATTAGTAGAACAGAATTTCAATGAATATAGAGAATTTCTCAGAAGCAAAAGAACAAATGAAGTTCTAGTCAGCTGCAGTATATGAACGTCATCTTCATCAAAAATAATCGTCAAACCAAGCCGTTTGCTTCTATGTTTCACTCCCACCCTTCAAAAGGAAACACTAGTAAAGGTGTACGTTGCGTTAACATTTTAACTTGCCAGTTGATAAACGACATGATATGCAGCGCCCTTCGATATTACCATATTCCGTCAACAGCAAAAATGCACTGAGGACAACATCGCCGTTTTCTGCTCTTAACACCGTCGCGGTCAAAGCCGTAAGCGAGGCGCTAGGGTGTGGGAACTGCTCCGTTCGGTAGCAATTTATGCAACTGTAAGCTCGATACTACTTCTCCATGCAGAAGAGGAATTTTCCAACAGACCTTCTTAACCTATACACCCCTGCGCTCCACAAGCAGTAAACCCATTTTGTTGCTAGAGTTAGGTGACTGTTTCTTACCTCGTGAATTATGTGGGTTTACGGACTACTTGATTTTTCCTCAATGGTCCTGCCGCGATGGCTAGAGCACAGACGATTAGAGAATGCCCTAGGACTAAGCCTTGGAGAGGAGAGGGACCCGCTAGAGAGCGCAGAGGCGGTAAAGGGCTGAGTTCAAGTAGTCCGTCAACCGGGTCTCGGCAGCGAAAAGTTCCGCGTGCGAAAAGCGAACAAGTTGCTTTCTAACCTACTGAACCACACCATAATAGACAGTCAAATCTCTTCGACGATGCAATCAAAGTTTGACAGGTTCCTACTTCGATTGAGAAAAATAACATAACCCGTTAGTAAAGTTGCGACAATGACATGCTCGACGAAAATCTCGAAATTCCAAATTGCAGCTGAAAATTTTCCTCTGTGAAGATGGATCCCATAATAGGGCACTTCACTGCGAAATAACGCGCTGTGTCCTACAGACGCACCAAGAAATGCCTAGTCGCCATTCTCAGTAGCCTCAACGAAGTTGTTTAGCTCTTACCTAGGAGGTGGACCACTGTTCGAGGTGAAAGTCATTGTTTGACCATATCCTGGTGGTGGGATCGTGTAACCGTTAACGGCCTGACTACCGTACTCGTATCCATTCGTAGCGGTCGCGCCTCCGCCACTATTTCCGAAGCCAGTGTAACCTCCACGGACTCCCACCGGAGGCACATCGGCCCATTGTCTGAAAAAAGGTTGAAAATGAAAATCTGCTGAATCGCCTTATAACTGAAAGGGTGAATCGAAAGCGAACCTCAACCAACCTTATCATTGTTGTCAGGGTGCATAAAAAATCGATAACGATGTCGAGATGGCGACAAGAACAAGGAACTCACCCTGAGGTCTGTGAACTGTAGAAAGCCTGCTGGGCTGTGGTCGAGTTCATCACGCAACACTCTTCGTTCGATTATTCGAAGAACTTCTTCCGTCACCAGCCACAAAGACGACGACCAACAAGCACCAGCGCGCGACGCGAATAAAAATAGAGGAGCGGAAAACCGCGCCGCGTCTGCAATACACGAAACGACACGCCAACTTACACACCTGTCTCCTGTGTCTGTCTCTCCTCACACTGCATGATCTCTCCGTCCTGTTTATTGCTTACCGGTTCCAGAGTTTAACACTTCGTTTTTTGCAGCGGTTATCATTTCATCAGGAACGTTTTCATTTACCCGTAGACCCAGCAGAACCACATGCAGTAGACTTGAAGGC